GGCGGCAGGTGGCGTGTGGGGCCCCAGCAGGCTCCCAGGCTTGGGACCAAGCTCCCGGGCTCTCCAAAGCTGCCTGCCCCACCACAAGGGGCTTCTGCAAGGGGCCAGTGGAGCACCAAGGTGGTCAGCCGAGCGGCACGGCGTCACACACAGTTGCCCGTGTGCAGCCAGCGCAGGCCTCGGTGCCCATTCCCAGCACGGCGGTGCGTGAAGGGAGTGGAGCACGAGGTTCTGGGGCGGGGATGTGCCCGCCAAGAACGCCCCCCCAGGAACCAAAGGTGCAGCTGCAGGGCAAGGAAGCGGCTGGTGGCTGGCTGCGCAAGGAGAGCTGCCAGACCTGGGCACATCCCCCTGCCCCGGGGGCAGCTTATGGGGGAAGCAGGCCCCACGAGATGACGTGGACGCAGCGCCATTCTCCACCCGCCGCCCAGCGGCCCCTCTGGGAGTGGCGGCCTCACTCCGCCTCCGTTCCCACTTCGGCTTTGCCCCACAGTCTGGCTGTGCTGTTCCTGGCCCAGTACGCGAGTAGCACAAAAGCCATTCCAAGGGAAGGATGCAAATTAAACCAATGGATCCTACCATGCAGGATTTACTGGGCGGGCTGCTTGGCACAGGGCCCCGGCGCCCTCCCCGTTCACTGCCTCCACCTGCCAAAGAGGGAGCCGTTTAAGCAGCGCTCCGCTTGCAAAGCCAAGAGGCACTTTTTCGAGAATGGCCCTTCCCTCTGACAGTGAGATGTCCATTAAGTTGGACTACAAAAATTAGGCAGTCAGTCAGCCAAAGAACAGCTGGTTGCGCTGCCGGGCTCGGTGAATACCCGGCAAGAGCATCTCGGCGGTGGCATTAGAAGGCGGCTCAGCCGCCCTCCGCCAGCCCGGCGCCCTCTCTTCACACCGGAGGGGAACTCCGGGCACGGCCTGAGCTTACTAGGACTAAGCAGCAGCGGGAGCTCGCCGGCTCTGCTCCACGTAGGTGAAACTCCCCCCAAAGCCGATGGGCGTTTGAGCCATGTAACCGAGAACGGGTTTTAGAGCTAAGGCCGGCAGGGCGGCTTTGGCACACACATCCAGCAGGCGCAGGCATTCAGGATTTGCTGGCTTAACGATTAACTACTTTATCCTTCTTAAAACTTATTATGACATCATCTTTGGAAGCCTTCATTGATTAACGCGCGGGTTCCTTAGGGATGCGGCCTGCCCGTGCTTCATGGCAACGTGTGGGATGAAGGTTTGGCGACTGAATGCGGGAGGAATGGGCGAGCTTCTCGTGCTGAGTGCTGATGCCCCAGCCCGAGAAGAGGGGCCTGGCCTCCCACCGGAGTGGCCCCAGCCACTTGCAAGAGGGCTGCTGATGGGGGCAGGCGGCCTGTGCATGAGCAGGCCCAGGGGAACCCTGGCAGTGCCCCTGAACGGGGCTTGGGCCAAAGTGCAGGAGGCAGGCAGAGCCCAGCTAGCCGGGCGAGGACCGCTCACTGGCTTGCCGCAATTAATAGCTGCACGGAAGGAAGGCTCCTCTGCAGTGATGAAGCAAAAACCCAAGCAACTGCAGCTGCCAAGTTTTTACCTCTCCGCGCCCACTAAAGACACACCTGGCAAGTCCCCATGTCTGAACTGGAAGAGTGGCCATTCCTCCTGTAGAAACCTGCTGCTGTGCTGGAGAAGAGCCGCCCTCCGCGAGCACGGCCTGTCCGGCTGCGCACAACACCCACCTCTGGCACGGAGGCTCCTGCTGCCCGCCCTGTGCATCACCCCTCCCGGGGGAGCCCCACCGGGCTGGAAGGGCAGCCGAGGCCCGGGGTCCTGCCGGGCCTTCGTGACCTGCCGGTGGCTGAGATCTCGCAGATTCTCTGCCTCTGGCTCCATGTGCCGTTTCTAAACCGGAGAGCCAGTGCGGGGTGAGAGTGGGACCAGGCTCAGGCGAGCTGGGCTCAGGTCCCCACTCAGCCATGGCTCAGCCCAGCTCATAGGGGTGTTGTTGGGAGGGTAAGACGGAGGGGAGGAGGGGAGCTGGGAAGGCTGAAAGGTGGGCTATATATACACTCAACAGATAAGTGAATAAAGTCTACAATTTTCTCTGGGAGCCCCTGCCAAAACAAGCCACGGGGGGGGGGGGGGCTGTCCAGGAGAGGGCCTGTTCCGTCTTGGCACCCTGGCTGTGCAATGAGCTCCACAAAATGGTGCACCTGGTCCCACTGCATTCTTTTCATCGCCAGTAAAACCAGCCTTTTCCCAGCATTTCAGCAGTTTAACTCTCTCGCTTCGTTTTTAAGACTGCCCTTTCTCCTGTGCCACTGCTACCCTTCCATGCTGTCCAACTGCAACTGCTATTCTGGTTTGCTGTTGTGTGCTAATGTTTGTGTATTTTTAACTTTTGTTAACCACCCAGAGAGCCTCAGCGATCGAGCAGAATAAACATGAAATCAATCAATCAATCAATCAATCAATCAAGAGTAGCACCTCACAACAGTCTTCCTAAAATGTAGGAAGAAAACACAGGCATAAAGCACATGGGCTTCGACGTCTATGTACTAATGGCCAGAGAATGGGAAGCAAGCAGCAAGATCCTGAACCCTGAATCCAGGAGGGCAAGTATTAGAATCCAGCAACTGAGGGACGCACCTTGCTCAAGAAGGCGGCACAGGGAGGCAGGCGGCGCTGTGCTGCTTGTGAAAGATGCGATCTCTGCACAGGAGCAGAGGCGGAGGAGCTCGGTAGCCCCATTGAGAGAGTCTGGATTGAGTCAGTGGAGCAAGGGATGAAATAAAGGGAGCTGAGTCTGCTACCAACCATCTGGCCAAGGAGAAGACGAGGGTGAAACTCTGAGAAAGCGCCTTGCCAGTGTTTTGAGGAGCCACGACGTCATCATTATTCCACTAGGACGTCTATTTCCCAGATCCCAGCTGAGAGACAGATCCTGCCCAGTACAGCCCCTCCAAGAAATTCCCGGCTTGTGCTGCTGATCGCGTCTTCCTACACAAAGTGGGGGAATAAACTGGAGGATCAGCTATCCTTGCCCTAAGCCTCAATAACAAGGATGACCCAGTGTGTAAAGTAAACGGGACGGGACTCTGGGGGAACACGAGTTCTTGCTTCCAGAGGGTACAGGAACCAAGTACAGCAAGTGACTTGATGGAACAACCAGCAGGGGAGTCTGTAGTCAGCTACAGACTCGGGCCCCGGAGTGCTGTGGCACCTTCCCTAACCGGGGAGAGTCCAGCAGGGCTCGGGGTTCGTCAGCTTTTGCATTGATGATTTGGATGAGGAAATGCAAGGAGCAATGGTCAGATTTGCAGGTGACACAAAACTGGGTGGGATGGCCAATACCCTGGAAGACAGAAATAAGGTTCAAGGTGATCTTGAAAGGTTGAAGTGCTGGACTGAAAACAACAGAGTGAAATTGGACAGGGACAGATGCCAAGTTCCGCACCTAGGAAAAAGAAACCAAATGCATAGTTGCAAGATGGGGGATACTTGGCTCAGCAATACTGCAAGTGAGAAGGATCCTGGAATTGTTGCCGATCACAAGCTGAATAGGAGTCGACAACATGTGATGTGGTTGCAAATAAGCAAGTGCTGTTTTGGGCTGTGTTACCAAAGGTATTACACAACTCAGCACTGGCTGCACCTCATCCGGAGTCCTGCGTCCAGTTCTGCACACCATAGTTTAAGAAAGATGCAGACAAGCTGGAAAGGGTTCAGAGGAGGGCAGCAAGGGTGATCGCAGGCCTGGAAACAAACCCCAGAGGGGAGACCTGAGCGAACTGGGCATGCTTAGCTTGAGAAGAGATGCCCAAGAGGCTGCCCTGAAGTGCTTGGGAGGTTGTCCAGGATGAGTTCGGGTCTCTCTTCAAGTACCAAACATGGGCCAATGGGCCCAGGCTCCTGTGGGCCAGATCCCAGGGGAACATCAGGAGCAACCTGCTGAGTGTTGGGGTGATGCAAGAACGGATCCAGTAGCCTAGGGAGGCCATGGGCTCTCCCACACCAGGGGCAGTGGAACTCCAGACTGACAGCCCCCAGTTTGGGACACACCTCCTGCATGCTGCCTCGAGTAGGGGGCTGGACCTGGTGCTCCCCCCCCCCCCCAGATCCTCTCCCTGGATTGTACAGTGTGGGTCGGGCTTGCTCCTTCCCAGCGGAGAGGCGTGTGAGACGCCCAGGAGAGCCGGCACTGCTGCTGCAAGCCAGCAGCGGGGTCCTGCAGGCACCGCAATACGCAGGCAGCACGGAGGCGGCGGTGCTGCCCAGCCCACGTGTGGCAAGCTCACACACACCTCCCACACGCTGGGCTGGCCCTCCCCTCGTTCCCAGCACAAAAGCAGCTGCGTGCCCATCAGTGATGCCACGACATGCCCCCTGGAGAGGGCTGGGGGACACGGTCCAGGAATATTTGTCTGGCTCAGGTTCTCCACCCCTGTCCTAGCAGGGCTTGCATTGCGCCGACGCTTAGCTTAAACCAGGGCTAAACTCCACTGGTGACACCACGCCTCCTCGTTCTTAAAGCTCTCCCGAGAAGCAAGAGAAGGCCATGAAAACCTTTCTTACACTTATAAAAGCAAAATAGGAACATAACAGACATTCCACATTGGTTGCGTTAGGCTCTTTTGTGAAACAGGCATTTTTCTTGTGACTGAGTTTTCTCAGAAGCAACTGGAAGAGAAGGGGGAGCTCTGTTTGCTCTCTTCTGAGTTATTCATTAGGGAAAAGCAGCAGTAATAAGTTGCCGATAAACAATAATTTAACAACAAGGGCATCTTATTCAAACCAAAATTCCTGTCCAGCTTATTCCCAAGTTATCTTGTGATCAAGATGGATGAACTCAGCCCTCTGGTCCTCTGCTTTGCCTGTTCATCCACGTTCAAGAGATCCCGTAATGGGCAGGGTGGTCAAGCCAAATGACAAATCTGAGCAGCCAGCCAGGAACTGTGGCTCAAACAGAGAGCAGAGGAGAGGCTGGCTCCCCGCGTCCCCCGAGATCAAAGGCTCCGCTCGCCCCCTGACCTGTGGTTGCACTGGACACCGTTGGCCACTGCTGCTCGGGTCCGCCAGGTCCTCCGCGCAGGCCGCCCGCCTCCTCCATGTGCGCAGCGCTAGACAAGCGGACATAGTGGTTAGATTGCGCGGGGCTCCTTCCATGCGGCCAGAGCCGCCCCCCCCCGCCAGTGTCTCCAAAGCGCATCAAGCCACAGTGGCTCAGAGCCAGCAGTGCTCTGGTGATGTTTGCTGCCTGGAGCTGCGCTCCTGGGGCTTCGCTCCACAGCTGCGCGGCACCCCTTAATCCAGGGCAACGGGTGGAAAAGTGAGGCCGCGTTCCTGAGATGAGGCATGGCTGGTGCCGCTGGGAAAGCGCTGAATCCCGGGGGTGCTTATGTGCTACTGCTGAAATCAGTAATGAACACTCCCCTATCAGTTCCTGGCACCCTGCAGCGTGCTGCCTTTGACAAACTCTTGTTTCTGTGGCAATTTGCAGTGCGCAGCCTGGGTTGCACCTTACGCCTTTGGCTGCAGAAACGGAACCGTGGGACGGATTCCACTGGCACGTCGAACGATGGACATTCAGCCACGAACGCAGCAGATTTGCTTTCTGCCCACAATTACGGTGCAAACTCAAATGACCACAGCAAAAGGACACGTGCCTTTAAAGTCATCAAAGTGCGTGCTTTGCTTATTGTAGGGGAAATGGCGATTCAAAATCCCTACACCAGTGATTAGCTTGTCCCGTGACAACAGCCGATTTCCAAGATGGTTCTGCTTACGCAGAGATCACCGCCTGGGGCAACTCTTCTCCTTTGCTTTGGTTCTATTGGAAATGGGCACTTATGCACACTAGGCTCTGGGCACCTTTTCAGTACCCGATTCCTGCCCGGCAGGCCTCCGGAACGGTCCCAAAAGGTGCCACTTCCAGGCTGCCGGACCATGCTGGAGGAGCAGAGAAGAGGAGGAGGAGGAGGAGGAGGAGGAGGAGGAAGTGGGGGAGCTTTCCTGGGGTATTACAGTTCACTGCGCAGCAATTCTAGCTGTTGGTCAGTCCTCAAATGCCTAAGAAGCTAAAGGGGTAGGGTGGCCACTAAGTGCTCCAAAGGGTCTTCCTAGCTGCAAACAGGGATGGAAACAAGGGTGGGGAAGCCCTGGCAGCTGCCGCATCCCGAAGGCGGTGCTCCGGCGCTTCCCACCGCGGCTCATGGGCCCAGGCTGCCAGGTTGCCCACCTCTGCAGCGCAGTGCCATGCCTGCTTTCCCAGTGGGAGGAGGGCTTGCTTGCTAGCCCACCTCCCATCTGCGCTGCAAGAGGGCAGGCTGCGTGGTTTGCACCCCATGCCACCCAGGGCGCGCCCCTTCCCAGAGGGCTGCTGTAGGAGGGCAAGCATTGCTGATGTTCGTAGCCCCACGAGCTTCAGCTGTTGGGCAGGCCAGAAACGGCACGCATGCATGCGGACTCACCCTTGCATCCCGGCTCTCAAAGATGCAGAGTAGCGCCAATCAGGATTAGGCGGCTTCGGCTGCAAAACAAAGAGAAAAGAGCAAAGAGGTGCATGTTAAGTTGTGCTCAGACTTATTGAACAGGCTGTGCGCGTGAGTCTAGGGTCCCACGCAAATTTCCTCTGCATTTTTAAAAGTTTCTTGTTGAAAAATCCTGTACACTGATTCATTCTCCGTGAAGGAGGGCCATGGCCAACCTCTCACCGCGACACTGCAGTGGCGGCTCTTTCTGAGCGTCACTTGGGAACCCTGCTCGCAACAGCATCCCAGTTACTTGTCTCTGGGTTGCCTTTGGCTTCTGCAGCCACCCCCAAGAGCAGGGCCTGAACGAGGCACCTCTGGGCTCTTCCAGTGGTGCCCCCCAGGGCGCAGCTCGCCTTGCTCCAGGACACGTAACGAAAATGCCAATGGCTGACGTGATGGTGAAGAGCGGCACAGCTCTCCTTACACGTGCCCGCAGGATCAGGCCCCGGTGGCCCCCGGGGGCTCTGTAAAAGGTGAGCGCGTGGGGGCTGCCCTCCACGTCCACCCTTGCCCTGCTGGGCGCCTTCGTCTCTGGACCGTCAGTGCCTACCGTGCAGCTGACCCTCGCCTGCTCCCGGGCTCACCACCCCCTGCTCTGCCCAGGTGCCCGTCTCTGCCCCGGCCCTGCTCAGAAGGAAGCACCGCCTGCTCCCTGCCCGCCGGAGTCCTGCCAGAATTGGACGAAGCAGGTGAACAGGGCAGCGCAGCAGACACTGTTCACTTCCAAAACACTTTCGACAAAATCCTTCACCAAAGCAGCCTGTGCAAACCTCGCAGTCATGGAATAAAGCCAGGCGGTGGGGGGGGGGGGTCCTCTTATGGATTAACTGATTAAAGAACAGAAAAGAGATTGGGAATAAATGGCAATTTCTCACTATGGAGGGATGCAACTGGATGACAATAAAACTGCCAGGATCACGAGCCACCTATTTGGATGGCTTGCAAGAGGGAGTGGGCGAATGCGTGGAGAAGAGGCTCCCGAAGGCCCTGAGCTATCTCTGCTATCGCAGCCAGCCTGCCTGCGTGGGCAGGCGGGACTCCTGGGCCCATCTGGCTGGAGGGGTCCTGCAGGGAGCAGGTTGCCGCTGTGCAGAGGGCCGGGCCGGGCGCACCACCGGACTAATCCAGCACGGCTTCCATACGTTCTCCACTGACTTTTCTGCTGCTGCCTTTCAGCAGCACCTCCGGCATCCACCTCCTGCTCGCCTTCCCCACTGCGGAGCCGTCTCCCGATTCCCATGCTCAGCCCACCCGGAGCTGCAGCCGCTCAGAGCCCCGCGGGCAAGTCCCGCACTTTCGCGCTCAGGCTGCCGGCTGCCCCTGCCTCCAGGGAGGCCTCCGAACAGCCGGGGCAGATGAAGCAGGCTTGGCTGCACTGGGCAGGTGGGAAGCACAGGCAGGAGGCTGCGGAGCCCCGGCCACCCCTGCTCGGAAGGACGCGGTGGCCTGCAGTGCACATGAAGAGGAGCAGCAGCTGGGAAGGCCCCCTTTCCCACAGGGGCAGCGGGGGAGGGTTGCCAAGGCCCCCACTGGCTGCTCCCTGCTGAGAGCAAAGGAGGGCGCACTCATGGTCAGGGCTGCCTGTGGGCCCCCCCCCCCCAAGTCTTGCCTGGCCCCTCCCTGCCTCCAGTTTGTTTGTTTGTTTGTTTGTTTATTTTTTCTGAAACTTTTTTTAGATTGTCCCTTACTGTGGTCTCTGGACGGTTTAACAATAAGGCAAAATAGAGTAAAACACAGCATCCTAGCCAAATTCTTAACCATCAACAATGAAACCCATATTAAAAGAGAGCTCCCGCCCATCCGTCCCCCTCGGCAAACATTTTCTCGGGATGCGAGCCAGACAAGCGAGTGGCATACAGCAACTCGTCTCAGAAATCCCCAAATTAGCAAGCTGGATAGTAGCCTCAATACAGACCCTCGAAGTGATCCAATTAGAACCCCCATGAAATAATCCATGCTACTTCTCAGCGTGGATTATGCTAATTCACTGGACAAGACCAATCCCAAAACGCAGCAAAAACCTGACCAACATGGAAAGAGGAGAGCTGAAGAAAAATTACGGTGAAACAGCTGCCTCTCAGGGACTTCACTATAAGGTATTTTCACTATTTACCATATTTTTCGCTCTATAAGACGCGCCTGACCATAGGACGCACCTAGTTTTTAGAGGAGGAAAACAAGAAAAAAAATATTCTGAATCAAATGGGCACATCATCACAGGCACATTCCCCATCCCTTCCCCATGGGCTGCACATCTGACAGACTTACAGTACACACATATTTGCTCTGTAAGACGCACAGACATTTCCCCTTACATTTGAGGGGGAAAACAGTGTGTCTTATAGAGCAAAAAATACGGCAATTTGTTTAACCCTAAACATCCATTGTTAAATTTTCAACCAGATCATGTTTATTTTCAGCAAAGATGCATCATTCTACCAAAATACTGAAAGTGCAAACTTTCTATTTCCTACTGTTGGACGCTATCTGGAGCAACGCATTTCAGTCCATTCACAGTAGAATCCAATATGGGTCTACACAGACTAAGACCTCTTTGTTCGGTGAGCCTTGCTCCAGATACCCAGGTATAGGAAAACTGCCAGTTCTCAGCCCTCAGCTCTGCCGGCGCAATACGAGCGGCAGCAAGTGCAACTGTTTCCAGAATGTACCCCTACAGGCTTCCAAAGCACCCACCATGACAGCCCTGGGTTCAACAAGCTGCAAAACTGAACCATTACTCAGGTTTGTAAAAATGCATTAGTAAAAATGCGCACCAGGAGGGCAGGTTCAGGGCCTGATCGGGCTGCCATTGGGCACAGTGGGTCAGCCTGCTGAAATGTGTCACTAGGCTTCTAGGAAGGGGGGTGAGAAGGAGAGAAGGGGCAGGAAGGAGGGGACCTCCCCCCGGATAATTAAAAGCAAGGGGTCCGGTGTGGTGCAGCTCCTGAAAGGGACAGGACTCTAAAAGCAAAAATATGTTAATGATTAGCTCTAAAAGAGGGAACTTACAGGAGCTGGTGTGGGGCAGCGACTAAGAGTGTGGGGCTGGGACTCAGGCGACCTGGGATCAAGTCCCTGCTCAGCCACGGAGCTCACAGAGTGACTGACTCTGGGCCAGTCACAGATTCCAGCCCAACCCACCTCACAGGGCTGTTGTGAGGATGAGACTGGGAGCAGGGATGGAGAATGAGGCAGGGTGCCTTGAGTTCCTCAGAAGGAAAAAGGGCAGAAAACAACAACAACAACAGAAGAACAGTCCTACACACGCTTTCCTGGGAGTAAGTCGCCCTGGGCACGGTCCTTCCATGCACCAGCTCCCCCGTTGCTCACCGTGCCGCCTCAGCTGCCCCGGCCTTTGTCTCCCATGCAACTGCTTTGTGTTGCTGGGACCTGCCAAGGGGACGTTCTCTTAGGGCTGGGAAGGAGGCGACAGAACCGGAGCACAACCTCTGGAGGAGAAGCCTCTTTCAACGCCACGTGCTGCAGAAAAGGGGCGCTCCTGAGCCAGCATGTCAGCAGGATTGCAATGCCCAGGCTTTGCCGAGCAAAGACGGAGCAGCCTTCCTCTCCGGCCCTTTGCCACACTCTGCCCTTCCCCACACCAGACAGTCCGGCACACGGCACACGCAGCGTTCAAGCCTCACCTCGCTCGGAGTAATCGGCTCGCTTTTAAGGATGATCAGGTTTGGGGAGCTCTCCCCGGTCAGGTGCCTCTCGGCCAGCGCAGCCGGGGCATGGACTCCCACGGGGCCCCCAGTGTTGTAGAACATGAAGGTGTCGCTTCCCGACCCGCCGGTCAGGCAGGCCTTGTAGCAGTATGTCCTGGAGAGCGATCCGTTGCCCCGCACCTCCACAAAGTGGGGTTGAACTTTTAGGCCATGGGGCAGCCTAGTGGGAGGGCTGCAGCTTGCCGGCTTGTATGTTTCGGCAGGGCACCGTTCTCGGCGAGCCCCACAGAAGCCCCCACAGCAGACGGAGCCGCACGGCACATGGTCCCGATGGCACTTGAGCACGGCGAGGACGACGACGGTCATGAGGAACACGAGCGAGACCACGCTCAGAGCTACGATGAGATACAGCGTGGCCTCGGCGTACGCCACCGTGCTTCTCGCGTGCCTCCTGCTGTCGGGGACGGCATGGGGCACCCGGTCCGCCACGGCCACAACCAGGGCCACAGAAGACGACAGTGGCGGAGCGCCGTTGTCCCTCACGATGACCGTCAGGTTGAAGGCGGTTGCGTTGAGCTCACCCAGCCTCCGCATCGTCCGCACCTCCCCGCTGTGGACCTCCACTCGGAAGGCGTCTGGGGGCAGGGCCTGCTCCAGGCGGAAGAACAGCCAGGCATTCTGCCCCGAGTCTGCATCGACGGCGATGACTTTGGTGACCAGGTAGCCGACGTGGGCGGAGCGAGGGACCACCTCCGTTGCCGCTGAGGCGTTGCCGGGCGTGGGATACAGAATCTGCGGGGCGTGGTCGTTCTGGTCCACCACGTAGATGTGCACCGGGGCGGTGCTGCTGAGGGACGGTGTGCCGGCGTCTTGGGCCCGCACCGTGACCTGGAACTCCCTCAGTTCCTCGTAGTCGAAGGAGCGCAGCGCGTGGAGGCGGCCTGTCTCTGAGTGGATGGAGACGTAGGAGGCCACCGGCAGCCCCTGCACCTCGCCGCTCAGCAGGGAGTAGGAAATGCGGGCGTTCTCGTCCGCGTCCGGGTCCGTGGCCCTGGCAGTGCAAAGAGACGTCCCGGGGGCATTGTTTTCCGGGACGTAGACAGAGTAGAAAGGTTCTTCGAACTGTGGTGCATTGTCATTGATATCGGAGATGTCCACCTGGATAGTTTTATGGGAAGACAGGGGAGGGGTCCCAGCATCAGCAGCAGTGACAGTGACGTTGTAGGCAGGAGTCCTTTCCCAGTCAAGCAGCCCCTGCGTTACCAGGGTGTAGGAGTTTTTGAAGGCATTGATCCTGAATGGAAGGCCGGCAGGAATGCTTAAGCTGACGAGCCCGTTCTGGCCAGAGTCCTGGTCGGTGACGCTCATCAAGGCCACCACAGTCCCTGGCTGGGCATCCTCACGGACGGGGCTGTATAGGGAAGTCAACACCACCTCAGGAGCATTGTCATTGACATCCACGATCTGGACTAGCACCTTGCAGTGCCCAGACATAGGGACAGGACCCCTGTCGGAGGCTTGCACATAGATCTCATAGAAAGAGGCTTCCTCGTAGTCCAGCGTGCCGTTGACCCGCACTTCTCCCGACACCGGATCCACGTGGAAGAGCTGCCGCACTTTCTGCGGTGTGTAGCTGCTGAAGGAGTACAGCAGCTCTCCGTTGGAGCCCTCGTCGGGGTCCGAGGCATTCAGCTTCACCACCAGCGTGCCGGGGGCAGCATCCTCCGGGAGGGTGGCCGTGTAGGTGCCGCGGTCGAAGGCCGGGGGGTTGTCGTTGGTGTCCAGGACCAGCACATCGATCCGAGCGGAGCCGGACCTGGCGGGCTGGCCCCCATCCACGGCCGTGAGCACCAGCTGATGGCGGGCGCTCTGCTCCCGGTCCAGCGGCTGCAGCAGCACCAGCTCCGGCAGCGAACTGCCGCGCGCGAAGTCGCCCAGGTTCAGGCCAAAGTGCTCGCTGGGGCTGAGCAGGTAGCTCTGCACCGAGTTGGAGCCCGCGTCGGGGTCCCACGCGCCCTCCACGGGGAAGCGGGAGCCTGGCACGGCGGACTCGGCGATCTCCAGCTGGTAGGTCGGCCGCGGGAAGGCGGGCGCGTGGTCGTTGACGTCCAGCAGCGCCACCTCCACGCTGTGCACCTCCACGGGCCGCTCCAGCACCAGCTCCAGGCGGAAGAGGCAGGCGGGCGGCGGCGCGCAGAGCGCCTCCCGGTCCATGCGCGCGCGCACCACCAGCAGCCCCCGGGCCAGGTCGAGCGCCAGCAGCGGCCGCGCCGCGCCCGGGGCCAGCCGCGCCCCGCGCGCCGCCAGCCG